GTCAAGTCCCTCGCCCTAACGACCTATGCCGCGTGGATAGCAGCCATGCGGCAAAGAGGCATGGAATATCGAAGCCTGACCTCGAACTTACTGGCCTAAACTCTCATACCAAGCTCGTAATGGCGGGCTAAAGAGGTAGAAAGGAAAACATCATCGCAGTAGCGCCAACTTTCTCTTGACTTTGTGGCGTTGTAAGCCTCAAGCCACCAGACAAATAACCGATATGCGTTTTCAACGACAGAACATGATACGTTCAAGGGACAGCCCCAATCCCTCCACACGTGAGACGCAGGCTCAATTGCTCCGCAAGACTTTCATTGACATTGCGAACCTGGATGGAAGCTTTGCTGGTTATCACATATAAACAGCATCACCATGCTTAGTAGGCATGTATCAAAGTATAAACAGAACGTTTCAATGTGGCGTAAACCTCCACAAATTGGATGTGGCTGGGCTCAAAAGGTCCAAGATGCTCATCGAGACTTGAGAACATCCATAGACACCGGGGACAACTTCACCTCGGATAGTAAGACAAAATCGGGGCCATCGTTTGCATTTAATAGGTTAAAGGAGTATTAGTATCAGTAAGCGTCGTCAGCCCTTCAAACAGGGGCGACGGCAACTCCATCTATGACACAAGAAACACAAGGAAAATTACAAAAGTTCTAAAGTCTGTTTCCTTTCCGAGTGGCAGCGGGGCCCTTTACCGCCCATTCGTAGGAGTCGTTTTCGTCCCTCTTTGCAATGATGCCCAACCGACCAAAGCCAGCCAACCCCTAGTTCGCCAAAGGCACGCAGACATACAAACGTCGTTTTAGCCTCCCAAGGTTCCGTCGTCATACACGTCCCAACTGCCGAGCCTCTCGCTGCTCACCAGCAGCTGGGCTCAACTTTTTTCGTTTCAAAAGCGTCTCTCGCCAATCGCAGCGAAGACGATGCAGTAATACATAGTTGCGAAAACAGCCGATGCTCTCAGATGGTCGTTCGTGTCGCGCGCATGAGCTAGCGGGCCCAAGCCAAGAATGATTTCATCTTCACATCCAAACGTTGTAAGCGGCGCAGATCTTGGCGCAGGCAGTACCAAAGGCCCTGTCGTTTCCGCATATATACATTCCACCGTGTGGATGACACATCTCAATGCCAGGCGTTTAAGCCTTTCGGGATCGAGGAGTAGAGCCGTTGGCCTTGGCTCCGGAAGCCTTCGCGCTGCCGTTGGAGTGGCCGGCGACGGCCTGGGCAACGTTGTGAGGGTCAGGGAGAGGAGCCTGGCTCATACGCCTGAGGGACTTGCGAGTCTGCGACTTGCCGCCCTTCTTGTAGGTCGCGAGGTAGAAGGAGATGAAGAGGACGAGGTAAGAGCTGAGGATACCAATACCAGCGAAGGCGGCAAACTCCTCACCTGCGCACTCGCCAGCGTTAGGCATCCAGGGCCAGTAGGTCGAGGTGAAGTAGGTGTAGGAGGCGAAGTAGACGAAGCCTGTCACAAGTCAGTCCGACTGTAATTCCCCGCCGGGTTCTAGAAGCACCGCAAGACTTACCGAGATCGATGATGAACTGGATGATCTGGAAACGAGTGACCCACTCCTTCCACCAGATGCGGACGCCACGAGCGCTCTGGAAGTAGTACCAGTACATGACAACGTGGACGCCGAGGTTCAGGGTAATGGGAACCCATGAGACAGCGGTCGAGCCAATCAGCTGAGTATAGCAGAGGAGAGCGGTCGCGCCGTGGTGGTAGCAGTGGAGGAATGCTTCGTATTGGATTAGCGGAAGGTTTCACAAAGTTGGGATCTTGGTCGTGCGCATACTCAGGGGCTTCTTCTTGAGGAACAGGAACACGGTGTCCAGGAGCTCCATGTACTTGGTCAGGTAGGTCATCTGAAGGAGGAAAAAAAGTTAGCAGTTGAAACCTTCAGAACTCGAATTGATGGCGGATAGACTCACGTAGTAGAGAACGACCAGGGGCTGGGTCCAACCGCCGTCAGTGTGGCAGATGGAGTGGAAAATGCCCTTGCGCACGACAGTGGGCAGGAGCTGCTCGATGTAGAGGGCCAACAGAGCGGCGCTGATGAAGGTGAGGAAGAAGTTGTGGATGAGGAAGAGCGTCTTGAGCTTGTAAGGCTCACGGTTGCGCATCCACTCGCGGCCACCGAAGATGATGGCATAGTAGATGACAACGAAGATGCCAGCCTCCTTGATGGTGGACATGGGAGTAACGCCAGAGACGAATCTGAACTCGCTGACGGGGTAGCCGACGATGGGAGTCCAGACCTTATCGAGGAGAGGCCATAATTCGATACCGAAAGGGCGGTCGAGGGTAGGCAGAGGCAGCTGCTCGTAGAACGACGAAGGGGCTTGGGTGGCCATCTTGACTGATGCTGTAGTTGGGTTGGAGCTCGAAAGAGGTTGAGGAGGATTAAGATCGAGAGAGGATGGCGCGCAAAGATCTCCTTTCGGGGGAGAGTAGCTGCGGCAACAAATTCGGTTACGCCGTGGGTCTCGATGCGGGTTGCCCTGTGGACTCGACGCGGAAGACGCGGATCTCTTGAGGCTTGGGGGAGGTGAGGGCGGTGGTAGTGGTTGGCTTTTCTGAGTGTTCAGCAATGCACGCGACGCAAGACTGCAGATGCAAGGCGCGGTAGCACTAGCAGAGAAGAAAGTGATCGGCAACCAAACCAGCAAAGGTGACGGGAGCCAGTAAGGAGTGACTGGAGACAATCGCAGCAAAAAGTGAAGGGTTCAAAAGAACAATGGCAACACGCTCTCTCGTCTTCTCTCTACCCACCACGGGACTCCCGGTGAAGTTGTTGACTTTGAGGGAAGGAGGTGGACAGAAGTCAGAACGGGGGACGGGGGACAGGAAGGTAGGAAACGCCACGGACTCGGGGAGCACGGGAGGAAGTTTGGTTTTATGAGGAAAAGGAAGGGCCAGACGGGGAGACCGGCGGCGGCAGCACTTGCATTAATTGGCAGTGGCAGAGGTAGAGGCAAACTTAGGAGCAAGGCACTGAGGAGTCTGAGGTGGGCACTGGGCGGGCAGACAGTCAGTCAGTCAGGATCCGTCGGTGTCAGTGAGCCGTGCCGTCTGGTCTGGTCTGGTCTGGGAGTCTGGCAGACACTGGACAGCAGCAGATGCGAAAAGTTGTTGAGATTCCATGTCAAAAGGGGAAAATTCCTATCACGAAGGACCAGGTACCCTGTACTTGTCGCGTTGCTCTTTTCGCGGCCTTCATTTGATCGTGCAGCATGTGATTCGCTGCCCGGCCTTAGCCCAGCCAATGGGCTCTTGTGCCTGGGCCTATGCTCATTTGGGGGGCCTGTTCAGCTTTTATGGTTCCCAGGCACAGCACGAACAACAACCAGCTCCACGTGACTGGCGTGGTGTTCGTGCCGTCTCCGTGCTGGGTTCAATGCCTGCAGTGTCAGTGATAGTAGCCAACAGGAAGTGCCCAGTAAGTAAGTAACAGAAGACGATGATGCTAAGTGCCTGCCTAGGTTTGTAGATAGAAGACTTCATGGAAGGTCTGGAAGCTTCGGGTGGATGGATTGATTAATGGAAGCCTCGGGACCCAAGGTAGAGAGGCTGTACCTGCTTTTCTCTACGGTGGCATTGCCTGTCAAATGACGCAGCACCGTTGCGACGAGGTGACCTCTAGCCGGCTGCCAATGGAATTGGTTGGCGTTTTGGGTCTCACCTACACTTTGGTTCTTCTGCGGTTTTGCGCTGTACAGGGGCCCGGCATAGGCCGCATCGCAGCTTTCCCGTCGGGCCCCAAAATCTCCAAATCCACACTGCCAACTCGACCTAGCCCCAAAACAACCGTCTGGCCCGCGAAGTACCCGGTACATCGACGCTCGTGATGCGGCTTGCAATCTCGGGAGTTTAGGCTACGTTGCCAATCGCAAAAGAAGAAGGCCCCGCGACGGTCACGACGTTCTAGCTTAGGATTCGACGATGGACTCGATAGAAGAGGGTCGCCCAGGAAAAACACGCAAAATTGTACCTCGGCCAATTGGCCCGGACCCAAATCAGAAGCAAGCAACAAGCAACCATCAAGTGATCGATCACTCATTCGACTTCTGAGGGCGATGCCGTTACAGTCTCCAATCTCCGGCATCTTGGGTCCGGTCCGGCTCCGTGTCATCCCTCCCTCGCTCCTGCCTACCCACCCCTCCTAACACGCTACCCCAAATCCCGTCATCGCCCAGTGCTCCCATCCCCCCTTATTAGATTTAGAGCCCGTCCGGCCGTCAAGCTGTCAGCCTTGCGCATCCCGCGTGTGCGGCTGCGATGGTGTGTGTGAGTCCCGCGCCGTGGCTGCGGGCGTGGCAGGCAGGATGGGACGGTGCGACGGAACCTTGAATCGCCTTGGACTCCGGACAGGGTGTCCAGGTGCCATTGGAGGGGCCTCAATTCGAGTCTGGAGTTCGGGGCATCGGCTCTGTTGCCCTGCCTTGCCAGCCTGCTTACCTGATCGCCTGTTCCTTCCCTGTGGTGCTTCCCAATGGGCTGTCACAGCCACTGAAGATGTGTTAGATCTCAAGGGTTCGCTGCCTGGGGACCAGTGAGCTGCAGCATGATGAGTATGACCATTACCACATTTGGGGATGAATCGTCCACAGTGGCCTGATAATGGACACTCCGTGTGAAAAGGTGCATCAACTGTGTCTCTACAGCTGCAGCTTGCTGCATCACCTCCAAGATAATCCCAATTCGCACGGCCTGGAGCTCAGCTCCGACCTCACAGCAGCAAGCTACCGCTTAGTCATCCAATCAAAATCTCGCAGAATCCAATCCTTTTTCGTGCCGTCAAACACTCACCATCACCCGACTCTAATCCCGACGAAACGCCCATAGCTTTCGCGAGCGAAAAAAAAATAAAAAAATAGCAACCACTCACCACCTCCACGTCACACAGCCCGCCGCAACCTCCGACGTCCCTCCGTCCTCCGGTCGCCTTCTCTCTCCCCTCTGCACACACACAAAGCCGACTCGAAAGATGTCGACCTCTTCCCTCATCCGCGTCGCCGCTCGCGGCTCGACCACCTTCTTCCGTGCGAACCCCGTCCGCTCGACCCAGCCTTTGATGGCCCGCTCCGCCGTCCTCCTGCCCACCATCGTCGCTGGCGTCCCGGCCGCCAACAACTTCAGCACCAGCACCCGCATGCGCTCCAGCGCCCACGAGGAGGAGACCTTTGAGGAGTTCAGCGCGAGGTGAGCCATTTCCTCGACGTCAGGCTTTAGCGTGGTGGGATGTGGCGGGTTGGGACCTTCTGTTCGGGCGTGCCGTTGGGAAAGGCGGCAGTGAGCCGGGGACGATAGGGATACCCGGAATCGACCACGACATGCCACCAACGGAACCCACCACCACCACCACGACCGCCGCCCAACCCAGCCATTGAGGCCTCTATACCCCTCAATTCGCTTCCCGAACGACGTCGCTGACTTTTAACCCCAGATTCGAGAAGGAATTCGATGGCGTTCAGGACGTTTTCGAGCTTCAGGTTAGCATGCTTACCCGCTCCCCCGGCTGCATCGAAATTCCTCGGGATCTGAATCTAGTTTCGGGCCCCAAAGTGGTCTGATGGGAGGAACACACGAGGCTGACTCTTGCACCGCACAACCACAGCGCAACCTCAACAACGCCTTCGCCTACGACTTGGTTCCCTCCCCCGCCGTCGTCACCGCCGCCCTGAAGGCTGCCCGCCGCGTCAACGACTTTGCTACCGCCGTCCGCATCTTTGAGGGTACGTGATTGTCCCGCGCTTATGAGATTCGATTTTCCCGCATCGCACTTCCGCACGCCCCCCAAAAAGGCTCTGCAAGCAATTGAAACACGATCAATGCACGGCGCGAATCATGTCGAATCGGAAATCGGAAATCGCTAACCTTTTCTACTTTCTACCCGCAGGCATTAAGGCCAAGGTCGAGAACAAGGGCCAGTACGAGCAGTACCTCGAGGAGCTCAAGCCCCTGAGGGAAGAGCTCGGCGTCACTTTGAAGGAGGACATCTACCCCGAGGAGAAGAACTAAATCTTCCCATCTCGCACAACACATAACCGTTCCTCTCGCGAGAACAGGTGACGTGTGACATTCGATACCAAATCGGGCAAACAGTCGAACACAACGAACCAGAAGTCCTTGGGGCTGCGGATTGGCCAAGGCTTTAACTTGTATATTCTAGGTCGGGGGAAAGGAGCTGCTGCCGTGGTGCAGGGGAAGTGTGAAAAAGGGCAAACTGCTTAAGAGAGAGAAGCTTGCTTTTTTATGTGTGTTTGCGTGTGTGCGTGCCGCTCTGTGTGTGTGTGTGCCGCTCTGTGTGTAAGTGTGAAAGTGATAGATGGGGGAGTTCCGATCCTGGTAGTGTGATTTTGAATCAAGTCTCATGTACCATCTCACCAAAAGCCTCCTCTCACAGATATACAAACCACTACACATCTCATTTGTTCCACAAGACTAGATCTCGTCTCTGCACCGGCCGACCGCATGCAGCCGAATCTGTGGGGTAAAAAACCCGGGGCGGTGGTATGTCCCGACCGACCTCTCGGGACCATCAGAACGCAGTTCCCCCTCGCGTGCTGGGCAGAAATGTGGGCAGACCGCAAGCAATCTACATTTTCCCCGCGAAGTTCAATGCTTGGGAAAGGGGCAAGTTTCCGATACACTTCAACTCGGCCCCACGAACGATGTCACGCGTGGTAATCATGCCATCAGGCGTCATCGATATCACCTTGTGAGACAACATCCAGCAAACACAGATATCGCAAAGAGCCCTTTCTTTCTCTTTCTACCAGGGAAAAAAACCTCTAGCTCATCGGAACCTAAGTTCAACTCGTAAAAAATACAATAACCCGTCCCTCATTGAAGGGTATCATGCTTGCAAAGGCCATCTCGCGGACCCCCCATCTGTTCTCTTTCCCTTCTAAACAAATCAATACTCACAATCTCACATCGTGCTGGCTTGCTTTCCCATCTGACAGCAATCTCACTCTCTAAGGTGGTTGAACCTGTGGTTGTTCGACGGCAAGAACTGCATGCCAGGCACGGGCGTGCTCCCCGTGCCCGAAGACTCGTACGGAACGGGCGAGGTTCCCCTACTAGCCGAACCTCCAGCCGTGCGCGGCGCCCTAGGGCTCATCATGCCGAGACGCGGGCTTCGGGGAACGCTCTGCTGGCGCGTCTCCCTGCGGCCGTTCTTGAGCGTACGGAGCTCCTTCTCCACGCGTGCGAGCTCCTTCTCGCGGTCCCGGCTGATGGCCTGGGTCTCGGCGATTTGCCGCTGCATCTCCTTGACCTGCTCCTTGGAGTTGATGTCCTGGATCTGCGCGAGGCTGCCGGCCGCCTGCTTGTGGAACTCGGCAACCTGCTCCTTGAGCTCCTTGTTCTCCCGGGACAGCTCACTGTTAGCGTGGTTGGCCGTCTGGTAGGCGTCTCGCGCGTAGCTGAGCTCGCCGTCGCGGCTCTCGAGCTTCTTTTCCAGATCGGCTATTTTTGCGAGAGATTTCTCGAGCTCGTCCGTCTTTTGCTTAAACACCTCCGTTGCCACTGTGCCGGCGTCGACCAGCGCTTCGTCGAGAGTTGCAGACTTCTTCCTGAGCTCTTCCTCGAGCTTCTGTACCTTGTTCTGCCAGGTTTGGCTCTTCTTGAGAGCCTTTTCCTCGGTCTGCTTGGCCGCATCTCGCTCTGCCTCAAATTGACTACGTTCTTTCAGCGCAGCCATGTGTTTCTCCTGAATAATATTAATGGTCTTGTCATGACTCTTGACCCTCTTTGACAGGCCGTTCACATGCTTGCGCAAGTTTGCCTCTAGAGTCGTCTTTTCTGCTAATTGATACTCGAGCTCAGAGATCTGGATCATGGTTAGCGCCTTGTACTGTGAGACCGAATGATCATACAATACCTTTGTGGTCAACGAGTCGAGATGGTCCTGCGTCGTGCGGACCTGTACGTGGGTTGGGTTGGGGTTCAGGTGGCCGCGGACCGCGTCGTCGATGCTACCGCCATCTCGACCTGGGGAAGGGCTCACGCGCAGGCGCTTTGTGACCTCTTGGGGTCCATCATCCTGGAATACACATCAGTGGCTGAGAATCTCTGAGTAAAGGGCGTCCTACCGCTTTCCGCTTTCGACTTGTCAGCTCCTCAGCCGTTGGGGGCATCTGGCTTTGGTGTTGGCTGTCGGAGTAAAGATCGAGAACTGCAGTCGGGACGGGCTCGGGCTCCCAGCCAAAGTTGGGCTCCGGATCAATAACTTGGTTAGCGAAATGAGCCGTGAGTCCATCAATCATCTCTCCCTGTTCATCATTACTAATGAGACCCCGGGACTGGAACATGGCAATGAGCAGAGCATTCGTGCGATCTAGTTCGCTCATTTCGTCCCCCAACATCGGTTCGAGATGCTCGACTGAGTATGTAGTCATCAGCCTAATCAGCATAGGTTTCCTGCCGTTCATTTGGGCCCAGCGGCTCAGTACATCAGTCCTCATGATGCCGCCGTCGAAACCAATGACGACGTCAAAGTCGCTCAAATCATCCACGAGAGTCTGTTCCGTGTGCATAAGCACAACGTTCAGAGAATGTTCGTCGTCGCTTTCAAGCTCGTGCAAGCCCTTCAAAGAGTACGCAATATCGCTGGTACCAATGATGGCCTCAAGGTAACCCATGATGGTAATGTCGCGCACAACAATGAGCACCTTCTTGTGGCTTGTCTGGAGCCTCTCCAGGAACCGTCCGACGAAGAAGTACTTGCTATTGGTCCCCATGGCGTGCTTCTTGAGATCTTCCGCTGCTAGCGCGTCAATGGTACCACTGTCGAGAGGCGCAGGGAGGTCGCAGATATCACGCAGCTGGTCCAGAAGCCTTCCGATGGCGCTCACCAGCGTCTCATCTGGCAAAGCCTCGCCAGATCGACAGAGTCTGTTGAACTGCTCGATCTCGTTCTTGTAGACGGTGATTGTGCTCAGGTAGAGAGGGCGGATGTTCGCTGGGAAGGTGACGGTAACAAGGTATTCGCTTTGGTCCATCGACGTTGGGGGCCCAGATCGATACTGTTCGACATCCGGGGATGATGCTGTGCTCTTCGCTGTGGCCGTATCCTCTGCAGGTAGAATGCTCAACGGCGCATCATCTAGCTGATGCAGTGCGGTTAGAGGATCATCCGGCTCGATTGAGCGACTAATGTCTGACGGAGAGATCGTCATGGGTAGTTGCTGTGCGGTCTCAGCAGCCATAAGATTGCCAGAGAAGATGTCCCCCGGGTTAGCCGTCGGTGGATGCTCGCTAGCTGGCGCTTGGATGGCGGGCTGAACGGGTGCGCTGGTCAGAACCGGCAATTCTGATGAAGATGTGGCAGTTCCTCCCATGTGCCAATCTGTGGAAATAGGGGGCTGAGAGTTGATCTGAAGAGACGGATTTTCCATGGTCATCGAGAAATCATGTGTGTCCGTTTGTCCCGTCGCCACGCTACCGTTCCCATCAAGCTGTCCTAAATGCTCCCCAGAGTCATCGCCCAAGTCACCGCTCATGGCCGCCTCTTGCATCTTCAGCAACTCCTCAATGGCCGACATCGGCTCACCCGTGGACGCCATGGCTGCAGGAAGACTGGATTGTCGGTTAGATCCCACGACCGGTGCTGGTGCTGAGTCGCTGTTGGACGGAGGAAGAGATCTCCTTTCAACGCAGGTGCGGAAACTTTCTTCCAGCGACTGGCGGCGTCGGTTATGCCGCAGATGTGCGAGCAGACGACCAGAAGGCGTTGTTGACACGCTTCTGTGCGATAATGCGTCCGAAGCCGACAAAGAGCTATCGATGCAGAGATGTCGTTGCTGTGGCTTGCGGCGAACCGTATCAGGAATGAACTCTTCCTCGGTCAGACCGCTAACCGAACCAATTTGGCTTGCTGAGATTTGAGGCAAAGGCACGACCCGTTGAGCGTGCTGCGTGTTAATACTGTCGCCCTGAAAATCAGATACAGTAATTTGCGCCGGATCAAATTGGTAGGCTGTTTGCGAAATCCGCTGGCCTGAGCCACCACTGGTACCTGTAGTTCTATTCTCTTGTGATGAAGAAGATTCAGAAGACGACGGTGAGTCAAAGTCAAAAGCTGGCTGGGTCAGAAAGACGGGGGCTCCGGATGATTGGGATTCCTGGTGTCTTGCTCCGGATGACCTCGATGATTGATCCGCGCCGTTGTGTCCAGAAAGGCTGTCAACTTGATGTGACGGTATAGACGCGTCGGAAAAAGATGCCGGTACTGATTCCTGCTCCTGAACAAGTTGAGCGGCAGCTTGGGCTGCCAACAATGCCGAGTCTTGAGATGCAGAACGCGATCTTCTAGGAGCAGCAGATTCTGAATTCGGCAGTTGGCTCTCCGGAATGGATGGAAGGGTGTTTGGTATCACCAGGTGCTGGCTTTGGCTTGGAAAGTACTGCGTGAAGAAGACAGGGTCTGAAAAGACTGGATCCTCCTGGCGGTGCTGGGAGATTTCCGAATGACTACCTTGCAAAGAGCTTTGTTTAAGAGCGTCTTGAGAAGGACGACCAGAGGGTGCACACGAGAGGCGCGTGTGAGATTCGCTAGTCTTACTGAGAGAAGTCCCGACGCTGGACTGCCTTTGTGAATCTGCAATCTCACGGTCTGAAATAATCTCACCCCGGTTAGTGATCGGCGCGATTGTTGAGGCAGCAAATTGAGATTCTTGGCTGTCAGGCCCTGAGTAGTCCTGTGAGTCGGGAATGGTCCTTTGGCTGAGATTCTCTGTGAGCAGCACCTGATTATCCTCGTCTTCTTGTGTAGAGATGGGCTGTGAACCATGCGAAGTTGAACCTTGAGAACCTGAGACACTGAGGTATTCGGTAGGGTCAAACTCTACTTTGGAGGGAATTGCGACAAAGATGTTACTCGGTGCTTCGAGAAGAATGTCCGAGGCAGCATCCGTGTCGAACTCGGAGCCGAATGAAAGCAGCGACGGCGGCTCACTGCAATGTCGCTTAGAGAGATCGTTTTCGTCCTCCTCTGAGTCTTCAATTTGAGAGTTTTCGGATTCCTCTGCAAAACGCTCACTATGAAGTCGCTTGCGCCGATGAGGCGGCCGAATAGGTTGGCTACTGCCAGGGGTACTGACAGTTGGAGAATGCGATGATGCGCCTTGGTCCTCTGCTCCCTCCTCCCGTTCGCGTTGTGATTCTGGCTCTTCAGAGCCCGTCACGTATTGAGTGTACGCCTCTTCCTGCTTCTTCTTCCAATCAAAGATCGCCTTGGACGTCACGTCCTTGCTTGGAGCCTGTTTGGTTGTTAGAACGGACCGAAACACAATGGCGCGACTGTACTTGCCCAAGATGGAGGGAAGCGTTCGCCCGTTTTCTTATCGTCGTCCCAGTCGATCAGGTACTCGATGGTTCCCCCGTACTGTCTCTGATCAAGAATATTCTTGATCGTGTACCACTTTGGCTCGTTAGGCTCTCGGGGTTTCTTGCGTTGTTGTTTCGAACTTCGGCGGGCACCACTCGGCATTGACAGATCGCGGACCACCTCCGAGAAGGTGGTGTTTGTGTTGCTAGGGGTTCTGTTTGCGCGTCGGCTTTGGCGTGGAGGTGTCCATGTATGTCGCGCGTAGTCACAAAGTGTGTCGCAGGCGGTGAGGAAGGCGATCGGTCGCTTTGAGGACCTAGCCGGGTCGCAGACGAGGCTGATAACCGATACTCTAAGCTCTCGAAGCTCGCGCCGCTCGGGCAACAGGATGACAGTGGTTCCACGGTCAGCCTGCCGTGGCTAGTGACACCAGCCCCATTCTGGTCCAATCAAACGACGCCTCTCGCTCTGGCCCCACTCCAGGAACACGCTTCACCTGCAGCCTCGCTCAACAGACGCGCACGAGCCAAGCAAGCGTCGTCTAGACAGGTGGGAAGCTTCACTTAGACCTGGATGCCGTCAAGCCAACCGAATCGCGCTGCACAATAGTTGGCGAGATACTTCGTCGTCTTGGATATTCGCTCTTCAAATGAACTCAAGAATGCTTCAAGGCTCTTTCCACGCATCACGAGGCATGCAATGCCTCTTTTAAACACATTGATCTACGCAAGAACAGGGCTCATTAAACCATTCAATATGTTCACTGGTGACCCAGTGCTATTTACTCCATGTGGAGTGGTTCCCAGCCATAAAGGCCGGGTCCCGGGTTAGCCCCAGGCTTCATCAGCACAGCGCTGAGTCGGATCGTCGTCGATATCTCTTATACCATAAACCACATCATGCCTCTTTTGCTTTAGATGTACATGAGTCCCTGAAGACTCCTTTTAGCCTGCGCCCAGCGAAATCCAGACCCAACTTTTGTCATCACCCTTCATACGTATCCCTTGCGAGCGCCCTGGAAGAAGAAGCGCACAATGAAGACCTGCAGAGCTCCCATCAACACAATCAATGCGCACTGTATCATGCTGAAGTTGATGATGCGCGACTCGGTGCTGCGGACGGTGCTGAAGTTTCGGTTCTCTCTGGTGCGGAAGTACTTTTGGCCCCTGGAAATGGTCGACAGTTGGCCAGAAAGCTTGAAGATGGTCTCCTCGAGAGTAGTGTGCTGTTCCTGAGAGGCACCCTGCTTGGAGGGGAGCTGAGCGCGAACCTCGTTCTCGACCTGCATCAAAATGGATGGTAAGCATGCTGTGGCATCATTGCTGGGTTGGGCACGCAACGTACGGCGATCTCGAAGTCGACAAACTTCTCGGCAAATGTACTCATCTCGTTGTTGAAGCAGAACTCATAGTCGCCGATTTGCTGGGCAGTGAAGACAAAGTCGCCCTGACGCTCCTTGGATCCATCGAGAATGACCTTGTTGCCCGGTCCCGTCACAACGTAGTCGATATCAAAAGAACCACCGGATTGGACCTGCATCAAGAGAATTAGAGCATTGTCATGGTTGAATGCATGCTTGGTGGTGTCGACGTACGGCGAAGTAGAAGGCCACCTTCTCGTTCTCCTTCTGGGTCTTGGCGTAGAAGCACGCCTTCTCATTGGCATGGATCTTGTAGGTCAATGCCGTGGCGGCAACCTGAGAAACGAAGCAGGCAAAAAGCCCGCAGGCAACAGCGGATAACCTCATGATGTTGTGGGTGGGAGCCTCGTGCGCGCGTGAGGGTATCTCGATCGATCGACTCTGGAGCTGGCTGGGTATTCAGGACAAGCTGTCGCCAAAAAGGTCACCACGAACGGGCCACGATTGAAAGTTCGGCGCGGAAAATTGGCGCCCGCCAGATGTAAGGTAGCCCCTTGGATGTGTGCACGGACCATTCAACGACAGGAGCAACTGCCAGCGGCCTGCAGCAGCACCGGAGCTTGAGGTGCTGGGTCGCTAGAGAGGGCCTAGAAGGTAGGTACGTGTCCCCACCGGCCCAGACGCTGTAAGGAACCTCGCTGCGGGAAGGTAAGGTGGCCCCATCAGAGCTCCTCAGCTCCTTTCCGCTTCTCACCAGCCACGCTCACATGTTCTCAGGCGCTGAGGTTTCCCCTAAAAAGTGGCTTGTTATCGCAGCGTTGGTGTTTCAGCCCGTATGGAGCCTTCATTAATCAGTGACCTCATCTCGCTGCTAACTGAAGCTGCCCTGTCACGTCACGTCCGTGGACCCGTCTAGCAGAGAGCTTCTTTACCTCCCTGAAGGCAGCATCGCGACTCCTTCTTTCCTCTATCAAACTTTCTTCCCACTTCGTCAGCGGGCAGGTGCTGGGTTGCACCTTCTCCTTGTGCCAGCAATTCCTCCGAACAATTTCATCCAATATCTACCTTTCCAACGTCCATCTTCTTTTTGCATGAACCGACCAGCATCTACCAATTCACATCTGCCCACCGAACGGATCTTTCGGACACCATGGGGACTCAAGCGCAAATCGCCTTCAATTCCTCGGTCGCCCTGAGAGCCGTGTCGTACGTCTTTCTTCGATGGGTGAGTTTTCCAAATGCCTTCATTATAAAATTGCTTTTGAAATCGATTGCTGACCATTGGATGCACCTGCAGTTTCCAGGACCAGTAAGTTCCACTTATTATCGGCAAGCTCCCCTGGCTTGGCAGAGTATGCTGATCATTATTTAGGCGGCTGTTCCTCTGAGCATTTACACATTGTTTGTTGTGTATGTGCCTTCATTCATTTCGGGCTATTTTTCAGAGCCCAAGTATGACGTCGTGGAAGACGATGTCGATGTCTCGGTGAAGGAGGCTTTGGTGCAAGACGAGAACGAAGACGGCAAAGATGAACAAGCGGTCGCTGAAGAGATCCGAATTGAGGAGACCATCGTCGTGAAGGAAAGGTCACGACCTTGGGTTACTCTTCTGGCCGGCTCACCCAGCCCGAGCAGCCCTATCTTGTCAATCTTGACGTTCCTCATCAACGCCGTGTTGATTGCCATGACCACCGACTTCTTGTTTCGCGTTCGGCAGTACCACCCGGTCGAGGACCTCTCATTCGTGCGCCTGGGCTATGTTTCCCCCTCGGAAGCCAAGTTCGTCTTGCGCGAGCCCGATCAAGCCAAGATGCCGGTTACCATTGAGATTCACATCAAGGACCCCCAGCCTCCTTTCGACAACCCCCTGTGGCAGATTGGCGGCGGCTTGAGGTACACCGACAACACCACTGACTTCACAGCTACTCTGACCGTCCCCTTGAAGCATTCGCAACAGAGAACCTACGAGTGGAGGACTTCAAACAACCACAGCGGAGAGTTCGTCGCTCCTCCCAAGCCGGGTCAGATGTCAGCTTTTGCCGACAACAAGTTCACTTTCCTCTCGACTTCGTGCATCCTTCCTCGTTTCCCATACAACCCTCTCGAGCATCCTTTGGCCATCCCAGGAATGCGCCACCTCGCCAACATCTTGCCAAAGCTGCAGGCCCAGTTCATGCTGTTCCTCGGTGACTTCATCTACATCGACGTTCCCAAGCGCCAGGGAAAGCATGAGGAAGACTATCGCCAGAAGTACCGCCACGTGTATGCATCCCCCGATTGGGCTCCAGTTGGGCAGAACCTCAGCTGGATTCACGTCCTCGATGACCACGAAATTGGAAACGATTGGGACCTGAACACCACTGGTGTCTACCGGGCCGCCATTGAGCCTTGGCACCACTACCAGGAGCTCGCCAATCCCCCTCCTGCTCGCGTTGCGGGCACTACGAACCTGCGCAGAGAGGGTGCAACTTATTTTGACTTCGTGCAAGGCCCGGCTTCTTTCTTCTTGCTCGATACGCGCTCTTACCGATCCACCAACTCCTTGCCTTTCGATCATCCGGAAAAGACCATGTTGGGCGCCCAGCAGCTGGAGGACTTCATTGACTGGCTAAACCGTCCTGAGCCTAAGGGCGTCAAGTGGAAGATTGTCGCCTCTTCGATTCCTCTCACCAAGAATTGGCCGGTCAACACTCGGGATACCTGGGGTGGTTTCCTTGTCGAGAGACGCAAGGTACTGGAGGCAATGTGGGATGCTGGAGCACGGGGCGTCGGTGTCGTGGTTGTGTCCGGTGACCGGCACGAATTCGCAGCAACCAAGTTCCCTCCACCAGCCGGCGGAAGGTGGCCTGAGACGGCTACCGCCTACGAGTTCTCCTGCAGTCCTCTCAATCAATTCGCTTCGCCATTGCCGACTTACAGACAGTACGATGATGAGGACGTAGCGCTGAAGTAAGTGTCACTATATTTCGCTCATTACTTTGACTAATTACCCCTAGGTACGTTCACTCTGGCAACTCCAAGTTCGGCTCTCTTACTATCGAGAACTTGGCCGAGGGTGCGCAAAGCAGTTTGAAGTACAGCTTGTTCGTCGATGGCGAGGAGACTTGGAACACGATGATCTTGGCACCTCCTGTTGTCGATGGCGACACGTCGTCTTCCTTTTGGAGTAAGCTGAAGGGCAATTAGACGCCTAGAATACTCAAGTTTTGATCGGCAGTTGATCGAGTATAGATAGAGAATGAAATTCAGAATGGTTTCACAGGCAAGTCGATTGAGAACCAGACTCGACGTTAATGAGAGTTAAGCGCCATGGGTGGAATTGAACTGCTGTTGATGAAGGTGAAAGCGCAAGCGCTCTGCCCACATACACGCTGAACTGCCATAGAGATGACAACACATCTCAGTACATCCCGCCGAACGACGCAAAAGATGCCGGTGGGAGAGAGTAGAGGAAGGTGTAAGCGATGGTTACAGTTGCCCGTTCAAGTTTAGGAGTGATGCGGCCCCAGCGTGATGACAAATGCGAGCGCTTGCGCTTGCGCTTTCACTTCCCACTCACTGCCGCGGTCAAACCCGGCAGGTACAAGCCGTTTGCATGGCGGAAATTCAGTCTCATGGCGACTTGTCTTCCTCTCATCGAATTTCTTATGCCTGTCTGACAGCAGTTTACCGAGGGTTTGCGATGGCAGACGACGCCGCGGGGGTGTCAACTCCTTACGGTGGAACTTACAAACGGCCCCTGAGGACGAGAACACGTTCGGGATGGTATGTAAGACACGCTATTGGCCCTATGAGAATTCGCAATTGAACCAGATTCAGTCTTCCATGCCGGAGTAGAAAGCGGAAGTGTGAGTGGGAGTTGATCCTTGGCAGATGTTGAATCAAGTGGCTGACTGCCGAAGAAGGCGATGGGGCCCGTCCCAGATGTCGAAATTGCGAGTTCCGAGGAGACGGATGCGCATGGGGCGTCAAAGTCTCCTTTCACCCGTCGCGAGCGCTTACCCTTTCTGCTGAAGACGAAGCCAGTCTGCTCGACGTTGAACAGCAGAGGCGGGCCGATAACACAGAACAAGCAGATGCGGACGAGCCACATCAAGTACGTTTCGTCTTTTGCTAGCACCCTTTCATAAGGGCTTTACACCTATTCACATACTTTATCAATAGTTCGTCGATGACACGAACGGCATCGTAGAATTCTTCGAGGGTGATTACGTGACACCATCGTCACCAATCTCTGACGTCGACGACCCTGTTATTAACCATGAAGCCGAATCGCAAACTGATACCGAGTTACACACAGTACCTTTTGTAGAATCTTCAACTCCAGATGATCAGAACTTGGTTCAGGGCTCATGGAAAGCAGCAGAAGAGGCCCCTGGCCTAAACGCGCACGCGCAACAACAGATTCTGCCCCTCATCACGGCAGACACTGGCGCACACCAAGCCCCAGCGTTGCATGCCGAAACGGTCGTATCGTACACGGCACCCTTTTCTCTAGGCCAAGCAATATTCTCAGATGCAGCACCACTGCCAGATCTCGACCTACCCGTATCCAAGACCGAGCAAGCTCTCCTCATGACGGCTTACCTTCGTGAAACCGGCACGTGGTGTGAAACTACCGATTCTGAAAAGCACTTTACTGTCAAAAGCATTCACTCCATGATGGAGTCTAGGGCGTTCGTAGCTGCCGCTCTGGCCCTTTCTTCACGCCAGGTCGACACACTGAGAGGCAGGCAAAGACAGACTGCCTTGGAGTTGTATCAGTACACCATCCGACTTTTGATTTATCAAGATCCGTCGGAAGCCGACACCTCCATCTTGGCGACATGTACGCTCCTGTGTGTATACGAGATGATGGCTTCCAGTGTCTCGGAATGGAGGCGCCACCTGAACGTATGTGGTTCTCGAGAACCATCTGACATCTGCTAAAGCTCGTCCAGGGATGCGCCGGGTTACTGAAAAGCCGTAACTGGAAAGGATGCAGTAAAGGAATCATCAAGTCATGTTTTTGGGCTTTTGCCAGGATCGGTACGTGGCTCTGTAACCTCCAACAAGCCACATTGCTCACAGTTCGAAAGACATCTGGGCAGCCTTCATCATTGGGCAGACGACTCTGCTTTCTACAACATGTTGGGTCGAGAACGATTCTATTCCGGCGGTATCCGCAGCTGCCGCTGCAAGCGGCGACATTGACGATTATTGCAACCTAGCCATATTGATATTCGCCAAGATCATCAACCTGATTGCTCACAACCCACCCTCGCCCAGGATTTCAGCGGCTCATAGAGTGACCATGACTGAAGATCTGTGGAAAGATTTGAGTATTTGGTGGAAATTTCGACCGAGAGATGTATGCCCGCTTTTGAGGGAAGAGCCTCGAGGGAGTGGGAACCCATTTCCCACTGTAGTATTCACTACGTCGGCCGCAAGTAAGTTTCGGCTCATCATTGCAGATTTGATGCTTGAAGCTGACATTGATGAGTATGCGGCAACACATTCTTCCATGCAGGCTCGATTCTCTTACTCGAGACTGGTATTGTCAGTTCAAGTTCGACAGAAAAGGAGTTGGTTAGTTCAGCCCCCTCCCCGTGTTTTAACCCGTTGGGCGTTATGGGCTGACCCCCTTTAGTCTGATCCGATATGGCATGCTAGGGAATTGGGCGGGTTATCAATCTCAAATGACTCCCAGTAAGTTGACACATGGATACTCGGTGACCAAGACTGAAGTCTCATGAAATAGCGCCAACTGGGTGAACCACTTGCAGCCCCTTTTCATCGCGGGCCGGGCACTTGCCAACACCTCCCGCTGGGGAGGACATCTGCTAGAAACACAGCCAGCTGACACTTACGACGACTGTTTTGAAAATGGCGAGGAGTACGCTCTGGAGAAACTGGCATTGCTAAAGCAACTGGCCAGAATCGAGAAGGAAACAGGTTGGAAGACATCCGACAGATCTGCAGAGTTGCGAAGGCTCTGGGGGTTCGCATGATGAGATTCGATTCAAAGCCAATCACTCCTAACAACAGCGTGTGTGCCATCAGTACATACATAGGAGAGGAGATCCGAACCACAGGTGGCATCAATATGGCCGTTGTCCCCAAATCCAAAAGTAATCCAGCCCAACCTGAACACCCCTCTCGTCCACGTCTCTCCTGATGTCCCTCTCGATCCGACTGATATCTCCCGAATCCTTGATCGTCTCGGCGCCGCCGTCCTGTATCACCGCCGCCAGCGACGGCCTGACAAGCTTCTGAATGGCAGCGGTCGCGTTCTCCTGCAACCCCTTGTCCGCAGCCCACGAGCTCCAGATCTTCTGCTCGCAGTTCTGCAGCCCGGCGTTTTCGAACTTTTGGGAGAGGCCAGAGGGCATACTGTCGGTTCGTCAGCGAGACAGCTCCTCAACCGCAGGAGGGGACACAACTTACAAAGGATCCCTCCCGATCCGCGCGCCATGCCTCATGATCGCCCACCACCACTCGTCATACGCCTTGCTCGGCGGATACGCCCGTATGAACAGGTCCGCCGTGTCCTCCCACAATACCCAGCCCCCGGGCCGGACCAGCTCGACCAGGTTCCCCACCGCGACGTCCCAGTCGTCCGTCTTCAGCCCCAGCGCCAGCAGCCGCACATGCACGAGGTCGAACGTGCCCCGCGCGTCCTCGGGGAAGCGCTCCAGCACGTCGTGGACGCGGAAATCCAGGCTCGGCTGTTGCGGCCGGAGCGGCGGCGACACCGGCGGCGGGGGGATTGGCGGCGTCGGCGGGCGCGGGGGGAACTTGAGCGGGTCGATGTCGAAGCCGATCAGCTCCGCGCGCGGGGGAAGGATCTCCGTTAGGGACGCCAGCCAGACGCCGCTTCCTGTCGCGACGTCGGCGACGCGGGGACGCTCTTTTGAGAGGATGTGCTTGAGGATTTGGGGGGGCAGGACGTCGCCGGTGAGGGGGGTCCAGAGGTTGAAGTGATTGAAGGCGAGGCGCTCGAGCTCGGCGTCGAGGTCGCCGCGGTTGAGGTTATAGATTGTGTCTGTCCAGGAGGACGGCGCTTCTTCAGCCATCTTTTCGCGCTTCGATCGCCGAGGTGTGCTCGCTCTGTTTTGGTGTATCGTGTGAAGGGGTCTGGTAGCTTTGGATCACTCTGAATGACACATTGGGTGACATGAAGAAGACAGCGTTGCTTTGAGACGATAGTCGGATCTATAAGAGCTCACAGACGGGGTGGTTGCTGATGACGAAACCCCCCTCCTACCGACGCGACCGAACCTACTATTCCCCCTCCATCCATTCTGTGGTATAGCATGTAGGTTCGCGGAAGTTCCATGGCCAAGAGATGTCATGGTTGGATAGCTCATGCGCACGAGACCAGGCACTCCCTGGGGCGCTCGAGCTTCCAAGGACCCGGGCCTCCACGCAGCTCAGCCCCCTTTCTTACATCGGACGACAACTGCGCGTGACTTTGACGTTTCCCCTCATTCTTAGGCACAACGTCAAACGAACAGGAGTTGTGGAATTGAGTTCATGTGAAGGAGCTTGAGGTCTGAGCTGTGGGCTTGTGTAACGATGAAATGTTCGAGGAGTTCGTATGCAGAAGTTTCTTCGGGCCCAGGAACTGACTGCGTTCCTTTGGATGAGAATGAGCCATGATTAGACAAGATGACATTGCAATGCGGCGAGCTCTGGTAGTTACACGAAGGGTTTGCTCACATTCGAAATATCTCAAGTCAATAACGCTAGGAATGTCTTATTTGCACGGACAATTCTGAGGTTTACTTGTTGAAGAACATCCATCGACTAAAGAAAGAAGCTCATTGTAATCAAATATTCTAGCTCAACAATTTGCCTACTCATCACGGTTAGTCATCCAGGAAATTCTACCCATACAGTTCTTGTCACCTACATTTTTTATAAAGCTCATTTGAGAAAAGTTCCTAGAAAGCTCTGTCTTCTGGGCAGTGCTGGATGTTTGAGGAAGACCATGTACCACTGGCACATCATCTGGAGCAGGCATATTTTGCCGGCTTGGGGCTGCCTGACAAACCTGCGGAGGCGACGATGGAGCAGACACTGGTGGATATCCATCTCCCCTGTACAAAGCGTCAGGCATCATAGATACCATAGTATCTGGCGCATTGAATTCATCTTGTCTCCTCGTTCTGCTGTTGGATCGAGAAGACCCAACATGCGCCTTACGCTGACTAGGTTGCTTGTTGATGTTAAGCGGTTTGACCTGCATTGCAGTCAGTTACGGACTCCCCTGAATCTCAACCCAAATTGAAACAACTCACCGTCATGGCTATCCTAGTTGCCGAGTCAGGGGATGCTAGCAATGAAGCATCATTCTGTGCAAATGGTCTGTGATGATCTTGAGCAGGCTCCCAATGCCTTCCGCTCTGCAAGGCCTCTCCGGGAGGAGGCGAACTGCGACTCCGTCTCAAATTGTCGGAACCCTGGCGGCGACTCACTCTTCCTCTCGGCGGCGAGCCAGGGCTCTCTGAGACTTCCTGCACGGTCGACCGGACCCTAGGAGGCTGGCTTGAGGAGCGAGGAGGATGATACATCATAATCGGGGTGTTCTGGATACTGTAGTTGTAACCGCTCGTGAGAGGTGGGTATCGGTTTGCACGGCCGGGAGACGGTTGGCGGTTGCGAGATCTGTGTTGTGACGGGGGCATGTCCCTCGGTCCGTCAGGCATGGGTCTTGATTGATGGCGTCGTAAACCATCTTGATAGGCTTGTTGTTGGGTTTGCTGCTGAGCTTGTGGTTGGAAGGCCTTGTAATGACGCACAGGTTCTGGTTGTACTGGGTATGGATGAGGTTGTTGTTGTTGTGGAAGGGGCTGCTGTTGTCCAAGAGGCTGTGGTTGTGTTGGAATTCCCTGAGAATAAAGTGGTTGGAAACTCTGAGGGTGAGTGGGTTGCTGCATTGGTCGCTCTTGAAAAGGCTGCGACTGGCTCAACAACCGCTCATCCCGCTGTTTAATCTGTGCATTCTGGTGGGCTCGCTGTGCCTGTCCCGGCAGCGGCGTCGGCGGCTTCGTCTGCTCCTCCAACTTACACATCCTCTTCTCCATGTCCTCGCCCCAGCCGGGCGCTTTCGGCGCCACGTCCCGTCCCGACCGGCCCTTCAGGAACGTGCCGCGGCAGTAGCAGACCATGAGGCCCAGCAGCCAGAGGCCCATGAAGACGCTCGCGACGCCCACGAGCCCGAGGTTCACCGCCCGGGGCATGATCTTGGGCGGGCTGTTGACGCTGTAGCTGAGGGTGACAATCATGAAGATGAGGAGCCAGAGGATCATGGCGCCGGGGAGGAAGAAGAGGGTGCTGTCGGAGATGAACTTGTCTGGGTCTTCGTACGCCATCGTGGCGGGTGGAGGTGGACTTGGGTGATGTGAGGGGGTTTTCGAGAGGACAGAGAGACCGTAAGGTTGGGATGTCGAGTTGTTATCTGGATGATCTGCCGAACTTTGGAAGATATAGAATGAATACCTGCCATCATGGAACTCTTAAGCACAGAAGAAGCGAAGGAACAGGAACAGCGAATATCTTCTAGTAGGCAAAAGACTTTTCTTGAATCTATTTCAAAGTTGCTCCCTCCCGTGGTATTGTACAGAGTGTCTCGTCGCTCATGAAAGTAAGTGTAAACCCGCGTGTGTATATACAAAAGAAGAAGTGAACCCCCGTCTCACGCGTTCCCTCTGTCGGCATTACTCAGGACGCCGGTACGGTTCGAAGTGAGACCGTGGCCGCCTGGGACTGCGAGGACTGCGAGGGTTCCACATGCTGAAAGAAACCGGCGTAGCAGGCAGCTCGACCGGCTGGTCCGCGCCTATTGACTCTGGGCTATAGTGCTTGAACGTGTACTGCTTGGTAGGCGGACGCTGCTGTACGGCGTACGCCGGCGGTGGAGAGTTGTATCGCGGCAGTGCGACGTCCTGGTCAGAATTGTTCTGGCCGAGTTGCTGCCATGGGCGGGGGAACTTGGCGGAGCCGACCTTTTCGGAGATGGAGCGTCGTTTGAGCCAGAGCAGGCAAGTCAAACCTGCCACGGAGGCGACGGCTGCAACAGTGGTGCCCGCTATCACACCCCCCGATGTGGTCTTTTCCGAATTAGCGGCCGCTGGGGTTTCTGTCTCTGACGGTGTAGGAATCTGCTGGACTCCGGTGACGGACGGGGTTCTCGACGCCGGAAGCCCTTCGGCAACGGTGGTTGCTGTCTCAGTTGCCTCTGATGCAGTGGTCTTTACGAGACTGGAACCAGATGTCGTGGAGACCAAATTGCTCTTTGTTCTCGTGACAATGGTGTTTGTGCTGGTGGTGCTTCTGGTCTCTTCGTCCTCATCCAACACGCAGGCAGATCCGCCACGGCATTTGTAGCCAAACGGACAACACTGCTTCCCACACTTCGGTAAAGATTCGCCGAGATTCGTGGTGTGTATCACGCTACCCGGATTTTCAACCACGTCTTGCTTGGTGATGTCGCAGGTTATGGTGGTGATGGCCTTGCATGATGCGCCTTTGGGACAGCACAGGGCAGTGGTGCTGGATGCTAAGACCATGCATGTCGTGTCGCTGGAACAACAGAAGTAGTCGGGGGTGCCATTACCGCAGGCAACATGCCCATCGACGGGGCAGCTGGCGTTGGGTCGTGATGAGGCTCTCTGTGTAAGAGAGAGGGTATCGTGGGGTTGGGATAAGGGTGTAAACTCAAGGCCAGAGGTGAAGTGATTATGGCAGACTAGCCCTGCAAAGACACAGACTTTGCGCCAAAGTAGGGTTGGAAACATTATGTAGTAATTGGGAGATAAATAGAATATCAAAAAGACTGACACAAAAAGGTCTAATGTAGAGCTTCGACAGCACAGCTCAAAGAAAAGCCGCCACTCGGCGTGATCATGTCCAGAGAAGGGACATGATGGTATATGAACATCTTGTTCCTTGCAAATGAGAACACCAAAAAGAGAGCTGTTGGTACCAGATGGACAAACCCAGCCAACCGCAACGCAGACTCTGGCGCGATGTTGGGTTTGATGTTCTCTGCGTCGTCTCTGCTCTCTCGTCGCCAGCACGGCCAATGAGAAGAGCCCCCTACGCGCGATGCAAACAACGAGCACCAACAAGCAGCAACTCCCAACGTGCAGGAGACGAGACTAAAAAACGGTGGGCAGGCATCTGAACCAGAGTGCCGGAACCGCTTGAGTCATGTGAGTGGACGAAGATGCGAAGGAGAGCAGAGTGCCATGCACTCCTTCTCGTTTTTGGCCTGTTTGCTCTGAGAGATCCTGGTCTTGGGAGATGCCGGGTTGGAGATTCCGGCGCTTGAGGGCGGCAGGGGGGTTTGGGAGATCCCATCCCCTCTCTGCCACGTCCCCGAAATTCGGGTGGCTGTCGTCGCCGTAGGACTTCCAACAGTCCCAAGGAGTCGGACACGGCGGCTATTTCTGCCACGCGATGGGGGAGTAACAAGAATCCCGCTTGAACGGATTTTCAGGCCCCAATTGGTCTCGGAAGCGGTCTAGGGACGATCAGACACGATGCGGGAGAAGCGAGGCGCACTCTCTTCTCCGGTTGACGACGTGGCGAGCCGTAGGGGAAAAGAGCTCGAGGCGCTTGTCAAGTGGGCCGCCGTAAAATTGGAACTTGGTGTTGGACAGGACCCATGTTGGAGATGCTTGATGAAAGAAACAGACAAAGCAAGTCCACGTTGTGAGACGATTCGTGTGGTTTCCAGGTTTCTTAGGTTGTAAAATGGGCCAAAGGCACACTGCAATGAAGCGGGCAGCCAAGAAGATGGAGGGCCCACAGCACATGCGTACGCCTAGGACAACCTCGAATTTAGCGCACCTCAACTCTCTGGGCAGAGAACACCTCCGCTGGGGGGCAACCTTCCCCGCTATGCCCCGAAAACCTCCCACCTAGCAATCAGCCGATGTCAGTGCAAAACCGAAGCATTTCGGCTCTCTTCACTCTGCCTATGCCATATCTCGACGTATAAGTGGGGGCATCATGTGCCTGAGGTGGAGGATGTCCCTCCAAACACACCACGACATGAGCCTCCCCCAGGAAAAGACTACCTAAGTAAAGTAGACATCCCTCCCTCCACCCGATGCCGACTCAGATCCGTCGCATTTCTCAAACAAATACAAACGTCGACTTTCAATATCCCGGCCCCTACCTCATCCCCCGCCGCCTCCGAACTTGCTCCAACTCTGCCCATAATCACATCCACTTCGGCGCGATCAGAGTTCTACCTGGCAGCAACCCTTCCACCGACCCCCCACGATAACAATGTCGTTCAGACAAATCGGCTTACGAGCCGGAAGGTATGGGATTTCCCAATCGCCAGCAACGGCGAAAAAACAAAATGCCATTCTCTATTCTGCATTTCTCTCTTCAATTGGCGTTGCGAATGACACGTGAAAGTCGAAAGTGGTCTCACATTGAAGCTTGTTCGTAGTAGTCTCGCGCGTCCTGCGTTGAGCGCCGCACCGCGCCTCCGTGTGAACGCCGCCTCAAGACAGCTTTCCGCAATCACCGCTGCCCGGCGTGTTGTTTACGAGAACAAGATTGCCAAGGTCAAGACCACCAAGCCCGGCATCGAGTTCGAAGTTGGGCGCAACAGCCGAGCACGCCGGACGACACTGTAAGTTGGCTTTCTCGCCGTCCCGCCCCCAGCGCCGACAGCTCGATGAAGCAGCAATGCACCAGTCTGAGATTCACCGCTGACTGCGTGACTTTTCCGATGCAGCCCGCACTTTTGGTTGAGGTATGTTGGTTCTCGGCCCGTCAGAGTTGCGGCCCGTTGATGAAGTATAAAGGGACAACTGCCGATGCAGCCAATGCGTGAACCAGGACACCATGCAGAGAAACTTCGATACCTTCGCTGTACGTCACTTATCTCTCTCTCTCTCTCTCTCACTCACTCAACTCAAAATCATCCCAACTGAACCTTGAGATGGCAGATCAATGAGGACATTCAACCTTTGAAAATCGAGCGTGACAATAAGGGACTGAAAATCAAGTGTACGTCTCCATCATTCTCCAGTGAACTCACCAAGATGACGCTGAGACGCCAAGGGGGGGGGGGGGGGCAGGGAACCAAGATAACCACGAGAGCTTTTACACCTGGGATTTTCTGAACCATTACCTATACCGTAACAGCCGTCCACTGGAAGACATCAAGTAAGCGTCGTCCTCACCTTCAAGAGAAGAATCGTCCTGCTGACGGTCCAGGTTTAAATACGGGATCCAACAAAATCACCAAGACCCCCCCACAATCCAATACAACGAGCTTTTCCCAGAGAAAGACTCCGGTGTCGCCAAGTTGACAAACACGATTGTAAGCCAATCCTTTCACTTTGTGTAGGAAGCCAATAGCTGAAGTGGAACAACCACGATAGCGTGAGCGAGGCTTCGCCTTCGTCGACGGCGTCCCTTTCGACACGCCCAGCGCCACGAAGGAAGTCCTGGAGAGAATCGCATTCATCCGCGAGACGCACTACGGCGGCTTCTACGACTTCATCCCCGACATGGCCATGGCCGACACGGCCTACACCAACATCGCCCTCCCGGCGCACACCGACACCACCTACTTCACCGACCCCGCCGGCCTGCAAGCCTTCCACATGCTTTCCCACGAGGCCCCGCCAGGCAGCGAGCCCTCCGCCGACGGCGAACTAGGCGGCAAGTCGCTCCTCGTGGACGGCTTCCACGCCGCAAACGTCCTCAAGCAGGAGGACGAGAAAGCTTTCGACATCCTCACCATGTTGCGCCTGCCCTGGCACGCCAGCGGCAACGAGGGCATCACCATCTCGCCCGACAGATTGTACCCCGTGCTCGAGCTCCATCCCCTCTCGGGGAAGGTGCACCGTGTGCGGTGGAACAACGACGACCGCGGCGTCGTGCCCTTTACGAAGGATATCGCCCCGGAGGAGTGGTACGCGGCAGCCCGCAAGTGGAACGAGATTCTCAAGCGGCCCGACATGGAGTTTTGGACGCAGCTCACGCCGGGCAGAGTGCTGAGTAAGTGTGGTCCCCGCAGGTGGAACAGGCTCTAGCTGTGACCGTGCTTTGCTGACTTTTGTGTGTTTCCTTCAGTCTTTGACAATTGGCGCGTGATGCATGGACGGAGTGCTTTTGAAGGAAGAAGACGCATCTGTGGTGGTTACAGTAAGTTTTACACTTCGAGCGATCAGAATGAAAAATGTTCCTCTGACTTGCGCCAGTCTGCCGAGACGATTTCATTTCACGCTGGAGAAACACAAACTTCCCTCGTCAACAAATCTTAGACAGGGTTGTCGGATGAGAGAGCGCATACTGAGCATTGCATGGCGAGTGACAGTTGCATCAGGGAAAGAGTGCATACAAAGGCGAAAGGCGAAAGGCGAAAGGCGAAAGCATTGGCATGAGAGACGCAGACACATAGGTCAGAGGCATTGATATGAGCCCTTCACGAAGATGGCGGGCCAGGCAGGCTGGACCTTGAAAGACAGAACTTAGAAGCGCGCCAGTCGAGTTGAAGCGGGTATCGTTTTAGCCCCGATGGCCCCGCGATTCAGGCCCCTCCGTCCCAGCATCTGCCCGCGGTAGAATCAACTTTAGCATGTTGGAAACCGCCAAATCTGGAGCAATGTGACCCGAATACCCCCGAACCCCGGGCCCCCATGGCACCAATGCACCCCCACACCACCCCCCGGCGGCGCCCGAGGTTGTTGAAGACACATGCGACATGCAGAAGCGGCCGTCGCCCTAATTAGTGCCGTGCCGTCTTCAGGGTCAATGACGGCGGCCATGATGCCAATGACACGACCTGGAGACCGCCTTTGCTACCCCTCCATCCGTTCATCCTGGCGGTGCGGCGGCACAGCTACCCCTTCTCGAAGCTCCACCGCGTCACCTCGCTCGAGATTGTTCCGTCGGCCCAAGTCGCATGAACCAGGGGCGCTCATTGCCGCGGCGCGCCGACCATACTGGTATTAGTATTAGCTTGCTCCTCCCCTCGCACACTTCGTACTTCGTGACCCTCTCGCGGAATCCTCAAAGACCCTCAGATTGCGGTGAAGCTTCTCCCTAGAACCCTGTCAAACCAAGTCAGACAAAAAGAACTCAAGGCCCTCTTGCGGCATATTCTTCTTGCCGCTGCTCAATAAAATGTTCGGTTCCGTCCTCCGCGCCGCCGTCTCACGGCCTCGAGTCCTCTGTGTCCCTCGTGCAGCAACCGCCAGCAGATTCGCAAGATTTCAGCCCTTCTCAACGACAATCGTAAATATGGCCGACATGAAAGACGGCGCGTTCAAGAACAACGCCACAGAGCCGCCGGCCGGCAACCGTGTGCTGCCGTTGTTCTCACTCAAGGGCAAGACGGCCATCGTCTCCGGCGCGGGCGCTGGCATTGGTCTGAACATTGCCCACGCCTATGCCGAGGCTGGCGCAAACGTTGCCATTTGGTACAACAGCAACAAGAAAGCATTGGAACGAGCAGCCGAGATCGAGAAGGAGTACGGCGTCCAATGTTTGTGTTGCGGTTGGCGGCATGGCTGGAGCTGAGTTGCTGACCTCTCTTTGCAGGCAGAGCGTACCAGGTGAACGTCACATCCCACGAATCGATTCAAGAGTCCGTCCAGCAGATCGTCTCTGAGTTCAACGGCCGTTTGGATATTTTCGTCGCCAACTCAGGCATTGCCTGGGAGGAGGGCCCTTTGATTGACGGGCCCATGGATAAGGGCGATAAGGTCATGGCCGTCAACGTCAATGGCACAACTTACTGCGCCCAGGTTGCCGGCACTCATTTCCGCCGACAGAAGAAGGAGGGCACGACGCTCGACGGCAAGCCTCTCGAGGGCTTCACGTATGGCAGCTTCATTGCGACTGCCAGCATGAGTGCCCACATTGTGAACGTGCCACAGGCGCAGGCGGTGTACAACGCCTCCAAGGCGGCCGTGATCCACCTTTGTGAGTATTCCTGTGAGTCTTGGGTGGTGCGAAGTTAATAAGTTGGAAAGGCAAGAGTTTGGCTGTTGAATGGGTCGACTTTGCCCGCGTCAACACAGTCTCTCCTGGTTACATCAAGACCGAGATCACCGACTTCGTCCCGGAAGAGTCCAAGAAGCAGTGGAGAAATAAGACACCTATGGGGTAAGTTGATGGCACACAAAAGCGTGCTTGTGACGTGGCTGACAATTGGCAGACGTGAAGGAGAGCCCAGGGAGCTCAAGGGCGCCTATTTGTACCTTGCTTCGGACGCTGCCTCGTACACGACTGGCTGCGACATCACCGTCGACGGAGGCTACTGCTTGCCATGAAGCAGATGTCGGTGATAAGTTTTTGGCTGCGAAAGTGGCTCACAAGCTGCACGAAGTCGGAGGAGAACAGCGACCGCGTCAGACAATTGAGCGATATGCATAAAGCCGAAAGAAGTTGAGATTCAGATCGCGACCAATCTTGCAAGTCGGTCATGGCCCGTTGAATAACGGCGTCTGAATCCGAGTCTGTGCAGTGGGTGGAGAATAAAGCCCAGAATACCCATGTATTAGACGGTTGGAGAGCCGGAAAGAAGTAGAAACTAGAGACTTTAAATGAGATCAAGAATTGATGCCAATTGGCGTAGATGCGAGATCGATCGTGTCGCGTGATATATGCCGTGTTCCCTGGTTGCGTTGATGGTGGGAGGAAGTTGCAAAGACAATTGAAGCGAAAGGGAAACCACCCAATCCGAAGCATGGGAATTCTGGTGCTCCTGATTATTACAGCACAACAAAGAAAGATACGACGGGAGCAGGATTGGAGGCTGGAGCCAAGTGGAAAAAGTAAGGTAAGGTAGCGCCAGTGATGAGGGGGAGGGGAAGGTCGAGGGACCTCTCTCGAGGATACGTACCTGGTACTTCCTCGAACCTAACGTGCTTGGCGCTGTTCTTGTGGCCATGTGGGGGTGGAAGAGGCAACTGGACGCCTTTGACAGGCTGCACCAGCATGCGGCTGCCTCTCAGACGACACTCGACCAGAGGAAACAGGAAGAGGGGACCAGCAGGAAGGACACTGCACAGTGAGCGTCTGAATCGAGGCTCGGGTATTCCTTCGTAGCAGCAAGAGCAGTGTTCCCGGTACTTGCATACACGCGTGAAGAAAGTGGGACCCCAAGTCTCTTCTACCTGCCCTGCCCACCCCGCCGTCCGCGGACACGTCTTCGGTCGGCCTGCCACCTGCCATTTCATCTGAGGTGTGCGTTCCAGCTCCCCTCCCGCGCGCGGGCAGCAGCTTACCTTAGCAACTGCACCCCTAGAGAACCGGTGGATTCGCCATTCTAAATGCTATCAGTGGCTGACTTTACCTCCCGCAGCTCACCTAAGGTACCAAGGACTGCGAAACTGGAGCACCAAATTGGCGACCTGCTGCTGCACACCTCACTGCAAACCTGCCGAACGCTGGACACTGGACTGGACCTTGCCGAGTGCAGTACTGCGTATCCCATCCCGTCCCATCCCCTTCACCCATCTCCCCCTTCTCAGCCCTATCTTTCCTCACCTCAATTTTTACCCCTCGCCTCACCACGCCTCGCATTGCTTCGAAGCCTGGTCTCGCCCGTCTCGTGCCCAACGTCTTGTCGCCACCCAGCTCGCCTCTTTGTAGGCCCATCGCGACTTGATCAGGAGCTGGTGCTATCCTTACCGTCCTTCACCGCTCACTTGCTCTGCATCATCGATACCCGACCGATTCCCTCGACCAGCACTTGACTTCTCTCCCCCTTACCTCGCCTCAACCCACCAGCCAGCAATCATGGACCCCGAAGGCAGCGCGCCTGGTCCCGACGACCGTCGCAACCAGCAGGTCGACAATGCCATTCGCGCCATTCGCGAGAAGAAGCCCCTCCCCGAGATCGACTTCACTATCCACACCATGGAAGATGGCACCCAAGTCAACACCATGGAGCGAGTTTGCAAAGGTACGCCGCTTCTGCTGTCGACGACATCACTCCTCCCCCGCCTCAGACTGCGTCACGATGCCCCTCGCTCTATTGCAATCAAGCCCCGCCCGACGATCAATCCCGCGCTAACCCCCGATTCCTCTCCTAGATGTCCAAGCTCCTGCCATGTTCACCCCCTCCGACGAGCAGTTCTTCGAGGACGAAACCCACACGAAGCCCAACATCAACTTCCTGAAGCAGCACTTCTATCGCGAGGGTCGCTTGACCGAGGAGCAGGCCCTATGGATCCTCAGAACCGCCACCGAGCTGCTCCGCGCCGAGCCCAACCTGCTCGAGATGGATGCGCCCATCACTGTTTGCGGTGACGTTCACGGCCAGTACTACGATCTGATGAAGCTGTTCGAGGTCGGTGGCGACCCGGCCGAGACGCGATACCTCTTCCTCGGTGACTACGTCGACAGAGGTTACTTCAGTATTGAGTGTGTCCTGTACCTCTGGTGCTTGAAGATCCACTATCCCAAGACCCTGTGGCTGCTCCGTGGTAACCACGAGTGTCGCCACTTGACGGACTACTTCACCTTCAAGCTGGAGTGCAAGCACAAGTACTCTGAGTCTATTTACGAGGCCTGCATGGAGTCCTTCTGCTGCCTGCCCCTTGCGGCCGTCATGAACAAGCAATTCTTGTGTATCCACGGTGGCCTGAGTCCTGAGTTGCACACTCTGGATGACCTGCGTAGCGTTAGTTGATCTTGTTCCAGACCTGCCATCACACACGCGCTAACAAGACGGTTCAGATCGATCGATTCCGTGAGCCGCCCACTCAGGGTCTCATGTGCGATATCTTGTGGGCCGACCCTCTTGAGGACTTTGGACAAGAAAAGACCAGCGACTATTTCCTGCATAACCATGTCCGCGGTTGCTCCTACTTCTTCTCGTACCCGGCCGCATGCAATTTCCTCGAGAAGAACAACTTGCTGTCCGTCATTCGAGCCCACGAGGCGCAAGATGCAGGCTACCGAATGTATCGCAAGACGCGTACCACGGGCTTCCCCAGTGTCATGACCATCTTCTCGGCGCCCAACTACCTCGATGTTTACAACAATAAGGCTGCTGTTCTGAAGTACGAAAACAATGTCA